TGGTAGGGGCACAAAATAGACACATAAGATCAATGGAACATAACAGCCCATGAAACAAACCCATGAATACCAGCTCAATTAGTGTGCAACAAAGGAGCCAAGAATGTCCAATGGGAAAAAGACAGTCTCTTCAACAAATGGTGTTGGGAAAACTGAACAACTACATGTGAAATAATGAAACTAGACAGACCACTTTCATACCATACACAAAAATAAACTCAAAATGGACTGAAGACCTAACTGTGAGACTTGAAACCATAAAAATCCTAGAAAAGAGCATAGGCAGTAATTTCTCTGACATCAACCCTAGCAACACTTTTTCTAGCTATGTCTCCCGAGGCAAGAGAAACTAAGAATAAACTACCATAACTACATCAATATCGAAAGCTTCTGTATAGCAAAGGAAACAATCATCAAAACTAAAAAACAACCTACCGAATGGGAGACAATATTTGCAAATGACATATCTGGTAAAGAATTTATATCCAAAAGATATAAAGAACTTACATAAGCCAACACCAAAAAACCCCCAAATAATCCAATTAAAAAATGGGGGAAAAGCATGAACGTTTTTCCAAAGACATACTGATGGCCCACAGATACATGAAAAGATACTCATCACTCATCATTAGTGAAATGCAAATCAAAACAATGGGCTATCATCTCACACCTGTCATAATGGTCAAAATAAAAAATACAAGCAACAAGTGTTGGCAAACGTGGAGAAAAGGGAACCCTTTTGCACTTTTGTTGGAAATCAAACAGGTGCAGCAATTGTGAAAACCAGTATGGAGGTTCTACCAAAAATTAAAATAAAATTAGCATATGACCTAGTAATTCCACTCTCAGGTGTTTACCCAAAGAATACAAAAACACTAATTTAAAAAGATATGTGCATCCTTATGTTTATTACAGCATTATTTACAACAGCCAAATTATGCAATTAGCCTAAGTGTCCATTAACAGATGAAATGATAAAGTGGTATGTCTACATACAATAGAATATTACTTAGCCATAAAAAAGAATGAAATCTTGCCATTTGCAACAACATGGATAAATGCAGGGTACAACACTAAGTGAAAAGAGCCACTCACAGAAACACAAATACCATATGATTTGGTCAGATGTGGAATTTAGGAAACAACACAAATGAACAAAGAAAAAAGACACAAGCCAAGAAACAGACTCTTAATGAAGAAGAACAAGCTGATAGTTACCAGAAGGGAAGTGGGTGAGGAGATGGGTGAAACAGGTAAAGGGGATTAAGAGTGCACTTATTATCATGAGCACTGAGGAACGTATAGAAATGTTAAATCATTATATTGTACACCTGTAAACAATACTACTTACTACTTAGTTTTCTCTAGAAAGTTTCTAAACATTAAGAATTCTAACAAATGTTGGGTGCCTGGGTGGCTCAGGTCAGGATCCCAGGGTCCTTGGATAGAGTCCCTCACTGCTCTCCTTGCATAGTGGGGAGCCTGCTTCTCCCTCTCCCTCTGCCACCACCCCCACCACTTGTGCTGTCAAATAAGTAAATAAAATCTTAAAAAAAGAAAAGAATTCTAAAAATGTCACTAAGACTACTAGAGGGGCAGCTGGGTGGCTCAGTCAATTTAGCATCCAACTCATGATTTCAGCTCAGGTTGTGATCTCAGGGTCATGGGATTGAGCCCTGAGTTGGGCTCTGCGCTCAGAGCTTGGGATTGCTTGGGATTCTCTCTCCCCCTCTCCCTCTGCCCCTCTTTCCCGCACAGGCCTGCTCTCTCTCAAAATAAATTATTTAAAAAGACTAGTGGAAATAATGAGGGAAGCAACTGTGTATGTAAAGAAAATAAGATATGTATTTTGGGTAAGAAAGTATGAGAAATGGGAATACATTTTTGTTGAGGGGGGAAATAGTAATTTTTCCTAAAGTAAGACTCATTTAAAGAGGGGAAAACAGGAGAAAATCTTAATGTAAAAAAAATAAATTTTTAAAAGTTGCAGGAATAATGTGAAAAAAGAATAATGTGCAAAAGAACGTGTAGTTACGACAAAGATTGGAATTAACAGTCGGGGGCACCATTTATGCTAAAATAACAGTTGCTTTGATGGCTGGGTTTGTGGAAAGGATCACTTTTGCTGATGCCTTCAGTTGATGACTCACCTCTGTACCACGTCATTGAGAAATTATACTATATTTTCTTTTGTCTTATAGGTATATTAACCTCATGGTGCTGTTTATATCACTGCCACAGGTATGCAGCCCAACTCCCAGTATCTGGCTCTAGGGTCATCACAGAAGAATGGCACATAAACTGTACATGCCATACACACCACACAGGCCATAAAGACGTCGGAGGTAGAGTGCACGAATACTGACCCCATGTTTGGCGCTCCATCTTGTTCATTTCCAAGTGATGACCTCCCTCAGGGGTACATGTTCCAGGTTCCCTGGAGGTTAAAGTGTCCTGACCAGAATATGGGAAGGCTCCTTCTGATCTTCCCTGAAGTTATTTAGATAACTAGTAGGGGTAACATACTTTCCTCCCCCCTCTTCTGGAGGACATGTGGCCCCATGAAGTCTGTTAAGTGTTAGACCTCTGACCTCACTACAATGCCCTCTGCACATCCCTTCCCACTCTATAAATGTGAACTAGGGTCCAGCACTGTGGAGCATAGTTATGTGGCTGCCTGGATCATCACCTGCCCAATCTCCCCCCACCTGCTGTAAATTACCCAGAATGAAACTCAGTGTCAACTGTATGGAGTCCCCCACTTCGATTTCCAATTTCAAAGTGCCTTCTCATTTTCAGGGATACTTTATTGTCCCTCCTCACCTCCCAACACTCCCTTTTCCTCATTTCTTAAAGTGAAGTAAGTCCTCCTGATCCTACAGGATGGCCCCAAAGTCTGTAAACCTACCTATACAGGATAAATGGTTGACTGACATTACATATCTTAATAATGTTCAATGAGCGGTCCCTAATTAGAAATGCATAGTTCGATGTGTGCTGCTTTATTTGCACTGAGTAAGTCAGAGTCTTTACCCCACAGGGTTAGTGGGATGCCCCAATGTGGTAACAGGAGTCAGGGGAAAGGAGGGTGCAGAGTGGGCAGTCCTCATCTGTTCATAGTGCAGCCTGCTCCACATGGCCACACTGTCCCATTCAGTTACAGAAATTATCATTCAATCAGTTCCTTATATCTCTGGTGTAATGGCTCTGACGAGACACTCCAAGTGGCTTCCCCCTAGCCTGTCAAGCAGAGGCTGACTGGTTCCAAAGAGGTAAAATACTTCAAACACTGCTTCTTTCCAGATTTTACGACCATTTTTATGTCCTTAAATCTCTCAAATCCATACTCTAGTCATCTTCTCTTGGACAACCATAACAATCCTTAACTGGTCTCCACGTCTCCAGTCTCACTCTCCTTAAGCCACCCGCTAATGCTACCAAGTGTGGTTTCTTAAACCGTGTATCTGATTGTTCCAGAGACCACATATGTACTACTCTCTCCAGAGCGCACCAAATTTCAGAGTTGGAGGGCACCAAGAGGATGAAGTGCTAAGCCTGCTTAAGCAAACAGAAAAAGAAAAACAAAAAAACAAAAAACAAAAAACTGGCGGACAGGAAGAAGAAGAAAAATGTCCATCCTGAGTTGCCACTGCCTCCACCCTCCACCTCTGTTTTGCCCTCCTCTCCAACTGCATGCAATATCTTTCCCCTAACATAAACCTTGCTCCAGATACATAGTACTTACAATCCTCTGGCCAAAGCAGTCTATTTTATATCTGCTATCCATTTGTTTATGCCACATTTTTTTGCTTAAATACTACCATCTCAAAGAACCCTTCTCCTGTTAAGTTGTTCTCAAAGGTCTAATATCAAATTCACTACTCTTCCTCTTAATGTAGTTTACCTTAGATATCTGTCATATTTTAACACTTCATTGGATTTATCTGGCTTACATTTCTATCTTTATTAGAGCTTACAGTTTGTTTGTTCTTAATCCCAAGATCCTGGTATCCAAAATAGGCACACAACCAGTGTGTTGGTGCTTGGAGTAAGCTGTACATTCTAGACTTGTTTGATTCTTAACCTTCTCAGGATCCCTTGAGAAAGTGAACACTTTGGATACTTCGCCCAAGAAAACAGACTGCAAATTTCCCAGAGGGGAGGGAAGGGGAAGTCATGAAATTCCTGAAGAGCAGTAAGAAATCGGTAGAGATTCCACTCGTCCTGGTTTTAGAACCCTTGCTTTTGAGGCAAAGCAGTCTACTGCAGTATTAAAGTACACGTGCTCCCTGCCTCTGACCCTCCACTTTTGTAACTCCAAGTTTTTATCTGAATATATTAATTTAAATGGACCACAAAGTTTTTTTCACCCTCAAACCCAACAGACAGGCCAGTTAGACTGATTAAACTGTTTTTTTTTAAAACCAAACCAAAACAAAATGTGTACTTTCCTCATCCATGATCAGGTCCAAGACAAAAGAACCCAGCGGAAGTAGCAGAGCCAAAATAAACAACAGAAACTCTTTCACGGCTTACAAATAAACGACCGTACTAATGCTTTATAAGCAATTTTCTACAGAATGAGAGACTATTTAAGTACTGTATCCGAAACTTCCAATGTCAAATGGGAAAACACACAGAACGGGGCCTACCGGGTCTCTAGACCCCTGGTCTATTCTTACCCCTACACGCCAGTTCTACAAGCTTCTCCACCGGCTCCACCGACACAATCCACGTCACCTTTGCGCTTCCCTTCTTGCCTGCGAAATGGACCCCGTACAGATCCCAACTAGGGAGATATGGGCCTTTTGGGCCGGACGAAGACTCCAGAACGCCTCCAGCCTAAGCTCCAGGTGGCCGGCGCTTTCTTTCCCATTCACCCCTTTTCTGCTACGCCATCAGCACCTCTTCCCGCCGCCCCCTCCTGGGCCTGAAAGAAGGGGTGGCAGGCTGCTTTACGGCGTTGTGCGCTCGGCGGAGGAAAAGACTGAGACTGGTACCTCTCGGAATAGCGCAGGAGCTCCGCATCTAGCTGTTCCCGGATACCGGTGCGTTTCCGGTTAAGGTAGCGCGGCGACAGGGCGATGTGTCTTCGGTGCGGGCCCGCCACCAGGCAAGAGTACCGGCTACTCACCAGCGCACAGGCGGCAGCATAAGTCGGCAGCTCCAGGCAAGGCAAGACGCCGGCCTGTCCCACCACCGGCCCCTCAGAGGCCGCCTTTGGCGGCGGAGCCTCTGAACAACCCGCAGCCATGCGGCTTGTCAGGTTTCCCGCGGCGAGCACAGCTGACGCAGGTATAACTGGCTATCTTAGGACGCCGGCTTTCTGCGTCATCCACCAGCTGGCACGCCCTTAGGACGTTTCTCTCCTTAAGTTGCATTACGTACATCTGACCAGCAGAGGGCAGCAACTTTTTCGCACTTGAGACGACTGGAGGAGCTAGGAGCCTGTGCTGGAAGGAGCATGCTGGAAGGAAGACCAGCCACCACGTCCTCTCTTTAAGGCAGGCAAGCTTTTATTTTCGCTAACGTCCTCTTTGGATTTAGTACGTGGGTTTAATAGGGGTTTACACTTTGATAATTTCCAGTAGTAAGATGATCTGGTAAGTTTTACAAGTGTGGAAAATACAATAATAAACTTTAAAATTTTAGGGAATATATTTTCTGCAGGGAATCCAATCCTAAAAAGCAGCTCAGATGCCTCAAATGCAACACATCCTACAATAAACCCTCTCTCCCGTCTGGACTCTCTGCTCATTCTGTAACAACTCATTCAGTAAATCTTACCACCACTTCCCAAATGGCTCAGTTCAGCTGTTACCCTTGGAGCCTCTCTTGTACTGTTAAATATCAAATCAGCCCCAAGGCTTGCGGGCTCCAAAGCGGAAATATTAGTCTATTCAGATACTTACATCTGTCCTCGCTTCCGAAACTACAGAAGTGCCTGTGGGAGTTTAACCCTGTGGTCAAGAGGATCCTCTGGAGCACCTTCTCTGAAATACGAATATAACTATGACTTGTCCACATAGGAACCCCGGTTTCCTCAGGATAGCACGAACTCCTTAATATGGCTCTTAAGTTACTTACAAGACCATATTAAGGTCTGCTGCCAGCCCAGCAGTAGTTTCATTCATCACACTCCCCACTTTACATTATCTGTTAGCCACCCCCCCAACTTTGATTTACTTTCATCTTGTTCCCTTTTTCACCAGCTCCTGCTACCTGGGAATATAGTGACTTTTCTCAAATGGGAACACTGTACTCATATGTCAAATTTTAGCTTAGATTTTTGCATTCTCTTCTTCTGCAGTGTACTACCATCCTATCCCTCTTCCCCCATCCCCATCTAATTAAGATAGGGGATTGTTTCCCCACTTTTGTAAATTACCACCATCAAGCACTTCTTTTTATGGTAATGTTATGTCAGTTGCCTACTTGTCTGACTGTTCCTTCCTAGACTCCAAAGCTCCCTTAGGGCAGGGACTTGTCTTTTTCACCTCTGCAACCCTTTATGACTCAAAATAAAACAGCCAAATGCATAGGAATGGATGAATTAATGAATGAAAGAATGAAAGAAATAGCAGGCGACAAAAAGCTCAGAGTCTAATGAGGAAATAGGATCTAAACATAAATATACAACAGGATTACACTGTGTAAGTGCCAAGAGAAATGCATAGCATTTAGTGGTGTGACTTCTAACACATCTCCACCTCCCCTGGGTACTGCAAAAGGTTCTAAACCTCTCAATTCACAATTATGCCTGTAAAATGGGGTTAAAAATAATGTACCTATTCTGCTCACTAAAGAAGTGGTAGGAAGTTCAAATAAGATAATTGAAAAACACTCTCTCTAGTATTCTTTGATTTCAAATTCAGCATGAGATATTACTGCAATGAAACTGCTCCCAAAGCCCAGTGATAAACATAAACCCATGAATAGGAAATTTAATAGCCTTTACCTGGATTTAATTGGAAAGTTCTGCAAGAGCCCTAGGCAGGACCCCTTTGTTTAGTGTTTTCAGCTTTGGCTACTCATTAAGATCACCTGAGGAGCTTTAAAATCTGATGATGCCTTTCATGTGGTGAAGAGCACTGGGTGTTATACACAACTAATGAATCCTTGAACACTACATCAAAAACTAGTGACATACTACTATATGCTGGCTAATTGAAGATAATAATAAAAAAATAACCAACCAACCAACCAAACAAACAAACCAGAATTTGATGCCTTAACAACATCCCCAGACCAGTTAAATCAAAACTTCTCCTTGAAGCCAAGATGCCTGTAAATTCTCTGCGGTGAATTGAATGAAAACAATTTGTCCAAAGCAGTGTAGTAAAAACAATAAGCTGGACATCCGGACAATAGAGCCAAAACAAAACTTACTTAAAATAAACTACCCCAGCAATGATTTTGCACTAATTTTAAATAATACATAGTTTTATAACCCTTTGTGTGCTCTTAAGAAATTGGCTTGTTTGGTTTTGAAAATTGTTTTCTACTTTTTAGTTTTTTAAAATTCTGGCTTGACTGTTAGCTGCTATCCACAATCTGTAAGATTTAAAAGAATAAAAGAATACATATAAATGTTCACCATTATGGAGTTAATTTACCAAAGTAACCTGTTTCATCTACTACCCAGAGAAGAAAAAGAAGTACAATGAGATTCCTCCCACCTATTTCCTATCCCACACAAATTCACAAGGTTTATTTGACCAAGGGACTATAGTTGGACTGTACTTTTTTTGACTAAAATTTGATCAAAATGGCCCAGGAAGTCAGGCTTTGCTGGTCTCTGTCTCATGAAAAGCCCTGTCAAGTCAAAGTCAAGCATGCGCGAAGATAAGCCCTTTTCTATAAGAGAGAAGATTGGATGTGACTTAGTATCCATGTCCACTGACACCCCCCCACCCCACCAAAAAAGAGAGATATCAATATTCCTGCAACTCTCTGGATTTTTTTTCTTTTTACCATCGACCTCCCCCCACTCCAACATGCACACATATACACTTTATGACGTTAGTGCGTTTCTATTTCTCACAATCAACGAATCCCTGGAGCAATATAAATGTGCAATCATCTGTAGTTTGCTGGAATAAGTTATAAAGTAACTTGTTGCATGTGTTCTGATTTTTATGGAAAATATGCACACTTAGGTGATTAGAAGAGAATCTGGATGTATAAACACTATGTGTTAATATTAGTTATCTCTTAAGGGTGAGTTAATGACTTTTTTTTAAAGTGTGAATTTTCATTGTAATGCGTGTGCATTGTTTTATATTTCATAAAGGAGAAACTTAATGAGGGAACGGATTCCTATTGTTGGCAATTTGGTTTGTTACAAGATATCGTCAATTCTTAGACAGTTTAATATAGTGTGAGGTGAGGAGCCTGGGGCTAAAACTACATTGTGTGAGCCTGAATCCTGGCTCTGCCACTTACTAGGTGTGTAACATTATTAGGCAACTTCTTTCTTTTTACAGAAAAAAAAAATCTGAAATTATTAGAAGAGACTTAACTGAAAAAAATGGAATTAGAAAGGTTAATGTAGAAAGGTTTACACAAAATAGTTTTAGATGAAGGACAGTGCAGGTAAAATGGCATTGCATCAGTTGGGTTTTGCTTCATGACAAACCATCCTCAAATCTGGTGGCTTTAAGAGCAATCACTAATTCAATTTGTGATTCTATGAATACAAATCTGGCCTGGGCTTAGCGGGACTCACTCAAGCATCTGAAGTCAGGTGTGGGCAACTCCATGGGTCTCATTCTCTAGCAGGCTAGAGTAGGTTTGCTTTCCTCGCATCTGTGCATGTTTTTGATCAAGACTTTAAGGAGTCCATGGTCAACTCATCAGTTATAATATGCCTGTTTTAGCCTGATGAAGCCTGTAAAGCTGAACTTGGGAGCAGGAGCTTGGAACTTCCTTGAATGAAGAGCAAAGCAGAGTCCTGGACCTACGAGGAACATTCATATAAAAGTTTGAATAAACGTTGGAGAATAACTTGGCCCCATCTCTGGGAATGAATTTTTTTTTAAAGATTTTATTTATTTGACAGACAGAGATCACAAGTAGGCAGAGAGAGAGAGGGGGAAGCAGGCTCCCCGCTGAGCAGAGAGCCTGACGTGGGGCTTGATCCCAGGACCCCAGGATCACAACTCGAGCCAAAGGCAGAGTCTTTAACCTACTGAGCCACCCAGGCGCCCCATCTGGGAACGAATTTTTTGTTTTGTTCTGGTGTTACTAATATGATTAATTTCAGCTCCTCTTCAAAGTACTACCCATACAAGCAATTCATATACATAAACATTTGATTCAGCTTAAAACAAAGATTTCAATATAGTGTTCTCTTAAAATATTTTATTGATAAAATTCACTCTAGCTATGAACTATATTTACTGAGATAAAAATGTGCAATTTTGATAGTTTTTTTAAAAAAGATTTATGTATTTATTTTAGAAAGAACAGGCTGGGGTGGGGTAGAGGGTGAGGAAGAAGAGAATCTCAAACAGATTCCAGCTGAGTGTGGACCCCTATGGGAGGTTTGATACCACCACCCTGAGATCATGACCTGAGCCACAATCAAGAGTCTGATGCTTAACTGACTGAGCCATCTATGCACCCCTGAAATTTTGTCAGTAGGAATAAAGTATCTTCAGTACAAACTAGTTGTTTGAAATAAATATGCTTAGTTTGAGAATAGTTTTGGGGGTGCAGGAAATGCATGTTTAAAATTTGCCTAAAGAGGGGCGCCTGGGTGGCTCTGTGGGTCCTGGGATCGAGCCCTGTGTCGAGCTCTCTGCTCAACAGGGAGCCTGCTTCCTCCCCTCTCTCTCTCTGCCTACTTGTGATCTGTCAAATAAATAAATAAATAAAATATTTTTTAAAAATAAAATTTGCTAATGAGTTTTGGAAATTACACCAAAAAAAGTCTGAACAGGATACTAATGTACCAAGCAGCTACTGGTTGATGCTAACTACATGTAATTCACAAATATGGCAGCAGATGGCAACTGTGAGCTTTAAGTTTCTAAAGTTTAGCTTTAGCCCAAAGTACTTCAGAGTGGCAAGAATCAAAGCACCTGTATATCGACAGTTTGTTTTTAACCTACGATCCTTCAAAGAAAGGACCTGGCATCAATTTTTAACTCTGAATGTTCTTCTTACATGCTTATTATATTGCTGAACTAACAGATGTGCACCGTGCTTACACTAAGGAAAAACAATGAGAGTACATTATATTTTAGTGGATATACAAGATTTTACATTTTGCGAGCTGTAGCTGTTGCTGAAAATCCATAGAAATGGAGTCATTCAGATGTATCTGTCCGTAAGTTAAAACCCAGCTGCTTTATTTAATAAGGTAATGTTTTATTGGTAGTGAAATCATGCCCCATAGGATTAATGAGGTTGAAACCAGCAGTAGAAAGCTTGTTTTCCAGAGAACGGTTTCCTCCCATTAAGCTATTGTGTCTTTTCAGACTCCACTAACAAACTCAGTAACTATCTCTGCAGAAGCCTGGACTCCAGGTCAACCGATCTAGCTCTAGCCTGTGAACATGCAGCACCCTGCATTCCTTACCAGAGATAAGGAGCCCAAGACCCCATTTTATACTGGCTCTCGGAGCATACCCACAGTCCCTTCTCCTTGTCCTAACATAATTTTCTGACCTCAGGGGCTAAATTTCGCTTCACCGGTGTTAAGTCTCCAGCCCAAAGTGAATGTGGGATGTCTCTTACATACACTTTTGCTCAATGCACATGCTCCATCTTTCTTCATGAATAGTCATCTGTTTTCCTGCCCTTTTCATCAACATGTATATAATCTCAACCCCCATGATTATAAAAAAACTTGTTTTCAGGGGTCCCTGGGTGGCTCAGTGGGTTAAAGCCTCTGCCTTCAGCTCAGGTCATGATCCTGGGGTCGAGCCCTGTGTCGGGCTCTCTGCTCAGCAGGGAGCCTGCTTCCCCCTCTCTCTGTCCTCTGCCTGCCTCTCGGCCTACTTTCGATCTATGTCTGTCCAATAAATAAATAAAATCTTAAAAAAAAAAAAAAAAAAAAAACTTGTTCTCTTCCCCTTCAGGCAAGTGGATTTGAGACTTGTCCTCTGGTTTCCTGGTTTACTCCCTCTCAAACAGACCTTTTCCTTGCTACATACCTGATGTCCCAGTGACTGGCTTTACTATGTGTCCATCAGGAAGACGGATTTGGGTTTGGTTGCACTCATCCTTAACGGTCAGGTCCCTGGTTGTCATCAGCACCACCTGAAATGTGGTTAGAAACGCAAATCCTCAGGCCCCACCCTAGGCTTCCTGAATCAGAACTCTGGGAATGGAGCTCAGCAATCTGTTTACCAAGCCCTCCAGGTGATTATAATACCTGCAAACTCTGGGAACCAATGCCTCAAAGCATCTTGAAATGCAGGAGAGAGGTTCTGAACTGATCATTTTTATTCAGGTATAATTGACATAAATGCAGTAGTAATTAACAATGTAGCTGATTATTTCTTTCGTGTGATTTAGCAAACACAGTAGAGTTTGCAAAATAAGTAGCATAAAATAGTATACAATTTACATAGACTCAGAGAGGTAGAATGCCAGTGGTTAATTTCCACACATTTCATAAACTGAATGAAAAGCTTCAGTTTATGTACCCTTCTAGATGGTACTGGAAGGGATAACATTATGGTAAGTTGTACATTGGAACTAACAAAATTAAGTCAAAAGATGATTTATTTCCAAGGAGTATAGAACAATCTTCAGGAAGGAAGGAAAACAATTCCCTATATAACAGGTGTTGTTCTGGGACGCCTGGGTGGCTCAGTCGGCTGGGCTGCTGCCTTTGGCTCGGGTCATGATCCCCAGGTCCTGGGATCGAGTTCCGCATTGGGCTCCTTGTTCAGTGGGGAGCCTGCTTCTCTTTCTCTGCCTCTGCCTGCTTGTGCTCTCTCTCTCTCTCTCTCTCTGACAGATAAATGAAGTCTTTAAAAAAAAAAAAAAACAGGTGTTGTTCTTATTTGTATTAACATGTGTGCGTATTCCATTCTCTCTCAGGCATTGTTAGATCCTCCTTCAATTCCATTGCTGAAATAGGAGGCACAACCATTTAAATTAACAACAAATAAGCCACATTTTCTTCTGTAAATAAGAGAAGGTAGGCAAAAATTCTTTATCACTGTCATCATTTTATCTTAAACATTGCTTTGCGTCAATTACCTTCCTACCTGAAAAATGTTTTATTAATTTTTGTTTTAGTTCAGAATTTCTCCAAAAACACATATAAAGCACTGGTTCCCATGAAAAGGCAGTGTTTGTTCAACTTCTTCAGTCTAGAGGCAACCTCTTTTATTTGTAATGTATACATAGTTTTTACAGTGTTAATTATTTGTAAATCATAGTAGGTACTTACGGGGGAAATAACAAGAGCAAAAGACCACAAATAGTCATTGTATTCTCACTCTCTAACAATGGAATTGTGTCTTTCTCACTTTTGTGGTAACGAAATATAATAATGTTTAAACACCTTAATCTGTATGCGTGGATTTTATCTCTTGGCTATAGTTTAGATGCTCTGATTATTACCTAGAACATAAAATCATATTAATTTTCAACTCCACTTACCTGAGGTTGCAAGTATCTATCTAGGTATCAATTATTAACAGAAAGGCAACGACAGAGACCATATACCACATCTTCTTTATCTATTCATCTATTGATGGACCCTTGGGTTACTTCCCTAATTTGGCTATTGTAAATAATACTGCTGTAAACATAGGAGGGCATGTATGCCTTTGAATTCGTGTTTTTGTACTTTGGGATAAATACCCAGTAGCACAATTAGTGAAATAAGTCAGTCAGAGAAAGACAAATGCCATATCATTTCACTCACACGTGGAATCTAAGAAACAAAACAAATGAGCAAGGGAGAAAGAGAGAGAGATTTGAGAAAGAGAGAAAGAGAAAACAAGAAACAGACTCAACTATAGAGAACAAACTGATGGTTACCAGATGGGAGGTGGGTGGGGGGATGGGGGGTATAGGTGATGGGGTTAGAGAGTGCGCTTATGAGGGTGAGCACTGGGTGATGTCTGTGATGTACGCAGTTGTTGAATCACTCGGTTGTAAACCCGGAAATACTTTAACACTGTGTCTTAACTGTACTGGAATGAAATTTTTTTTTTAAAGAAAGAAAAAATAGTCAACGTGTGTGTGTGTGTGGGGGGGGGGGTTCTTGAGAACCACTGTTGGTTGGGAAGGAGTAAAGGAGGTATAAGATGGGTGGTGGGGCTCCTTTCTGAAGCTATGATGTCATCTTCATATAATTTACTGTCCTTTTATGAAGCCTACGGTTGGTATTTCTTCTAAGGCCCTAGTTCCTTTCCAAATGGACTTTTTAAAAAAAGGGATTTTATTTATAAATAGACACATAGAGAGAGTTAGTGAAAGAGAGAGCACAAGCAGGGGGCGCTGCAGACAGAGGGAGAGGGAGAAGCAGACTCTCCATTGAGCAGGGAGCCTAATGCTGGGCTCTATCTAGGACCCTGGGATCCTGATCTGAGCTGAAGGCAGAGGCTTAACCAAATGAGCCACCCAGGTGCCCCCCAACTAGATTTTATTGCAACAAAGTTTCAACATCTTTTGAAAGGTTTTCAAATCCAAGGAATTAGCCAGTAATATTAACCATGGCGCTTTCAAGAATACCTTTGGACATTCTCATTTAGTTCCATCTGCCTTTAGCTCACTGCAGAACAAAAATAGAAAACCATTTCCTTTTTTTTTTTTTTTTTTTTTACCATTACCTTAAAGCTGTAGTTTAATAAACCACCTGCTGCCTGCAGAGTCTGTGTGAGCATGAATTCACAGATCCTTGACACTAAATGGATTCCGAAGAATATGATATGGAAAGTTTGAGGGTGGAAAGTAGATAAAAATGAAAATTAGACACGATGTATTTTGATACACAATTTACTCTCAAGTCATTAAACAAAATGCATATTAATGGATCATATCCAGACTCCCTCTTATGGCCACAGGGGGCTCTTAATAATTCTGCACTTTGGAAATTATTACAATAATGAATTCATCTTTATCCCGTGGCAAAGGGGACTTTCCCAGTTGTGAAAGAATGCAACAGTGAGCAGAACTTTACAAGGGAAGATATTACATAAAAACCACAATTTTTCAATAAAATGAAAATCTAGACCTCTAATATTCACACTGAAAGGAGTGTTCCTCATTGAGAAGGATCAATGACTAATGAAAGCTTCCCTTGTGTCTCACTTTCCCTTGATGTTTCTTGTGTTACCTGCTGTCATGCACATATTGGCTTTAGACAAACACTGTATAAAGTGTCAGCTCCCTTGAACAAAACCTCTTCCTCCTATGTTCTTGGCACAGATGAGTAGGCTAAGCTAGAGATTTAAAAGAAGAAAATGACAGATACTACAAGCAATGAACTTACCTGGTAAATAAAGGCAAAATTTTGTTCATGACAAAATTGTTTTTTTCTACAGCTTGCTGATCCCATCCCCTCAAGAAACCCAGGGGGGAAATAATCTTGCCTCAGTTTCTCACTTACGGCTTCCTGCCTGTCTCCAATGACCTCATAGATTTTCCATCCTCTTTACATTCAAGATATGGAGAGCTCCTGTTTTCTCTTTAGTTGTCCTTTAGGATACTTCTTTTGCATTCCTATTTCCAGTTGGAGCACACGCCTGTCTGCTGGTAACTAACATTTTTGTTGAAGCTGCTTTTGTCACTAGCTGCTGCCCGCTTGGTGACCAAGGCTGGATTTCACCAGCTGGTTCAGGGGTGGGAGACCCGTGAAACCAATCCGAGTGCCTAGAGCGAGGTGAGAAGCTGTAGCGGTCAAAACTTGACAACTACAGAGGTTAAAGTCTCAGGTTCAGATGCAGGACCCAGAAACTGAAATCAAAGCACTGCCACAGAACCAGAAATTTGGATCTGAAATCAGAAGAAGCTGAACAAATAAAGGGCTGTGGTTCCAAGGGGATGGAGTTATGGTTTTATGGACTTGAGGGTATATAAGTTACATGACATGATTGAATGGCTCTAAGATTCATGGGTACAGCAAGAAATGACCTTACCTTTCAGTTGAAATATTAATAATGTCTTACCACGTTATCCACATTTCATGTTAAATAAATTATATTAATATGATTGAGGAATATTCACATTTATAGTTGCACATTATCATAACCCTTGATAAATGGTTCTCACCAGCTGCACTACTGTCCTTTTTGTTGGTAGATAGCACTAGGCTAGTATTATCACTATTTACTCTGTTGTGTCTTGGAAACAACATTCTTTCCAGCAATTTGTTTTATCTTAGAAGACCTAGAACCTTCTTAATAAGCTTAAAATTTTCTTCTCAAAGATCAATGTCAAAGTATTGATATAATTAGAAGATAAAAAAGACACAGAAGTCCAGATCTCAAAAGATATTTTAGATATTAAGGAGTGAAGTGCACATCTAGACAGTATTTGTACACTTCAAGGACTTAGTATGAGTAAGACTGAATATCACCTCTTTCCTTGGCTGATTGACAATGAGGGACAGAGTGAGGGATGGTAGAGCCCCCCACAATGGGAACTGTAGCTTTTCTTTCCTGAGCAATGATCTTGGAGAGCCCAAGGGATATCTTCCAGTCCTCCATCAGGATGTTGTGAAATGACATTGGAGGACCCCTGTCTTAGTGAGGAAGGGAGGACAAATATCCTGATTGATTAGTAACAAGGAGCAGTCATGAGTCCTGATTCTTTGAGGTTAGCTAAACACTTGATGCAAATTTGACAAAATTTTAGAATTTTCTGTGAAGCTCTTAAGGATTTCTTAAGGATCTTCTTAAGGATTTCTAGTTAAATGAAGGCTACGTCCTTATAACTAGTTAATATAGACAATGTTGAACTATTAAAATATTGAAATCAATTTGTTTAGATCTAGAGTTTGACTTTTTATAATACATTTCCTGGGAAATACATTCCTAGTAAAAGACCCTTATATTCAGTAAATATTTTTCCTGGCATAAAGAATAATAAAAAAACACTTTTGTATAATTTTACTAGGCATCCACATTTCAAGCAATTTCTGAATTGGTTTCCTCTGCTCTGAGTAACTCACAACCTGTGATTTATGGTTTTGGAATAATTGAATTTCTTGGCTGTCACATACTTTGAGTAAGAAGGATTACATATGTTTCCAGGAAAACGATTTAAGGAAGGCAAGAATGAAGTGAGGCCAAGTTCTGAAACTTTATTTGGAAACTGTGTTCTAACCAAATGGTACTTAAGATGCTCTATCTAAATTTCTTAAACATGTTTGCTAAATAATCTTTGAAAATGCAGCTTTGGACATACGGTTTCTAAACATGCCACTTTTGAGCTTAAGTCAATGAAAAGAGTAGAGGACCACAGACTGTCATTCTCACCTTCCCAAGCATAAGAAATGCAGAATTTTTCATTGACGTATGGTAATAGGCTGAGTAAATTTCTTCAAAAATAGAAGTTACACAACATCTCATTTTACCTGTCAAACACAAAATATTTAGTTATTTACTGGAATATTTCTATGACCAGAATTTTTTTTTTTTAAACATGAAAATTCTAGCAACTTTTAGACTTTATTATGGATTTGGCCTACACTGTATTTTTCCTTGTTCTTCTTGGTCTATGGACTTAACTGGTCCATCAACTTCAAATTTCATGGAGAGTCCAATTTCTTTACATTTTATTTTAATGATAAGGACTGTGGTTTTGACTAGCATTGACCGATAAGACTTTCTGAGGTGATGTTTACCCTGTGTGGTTATCGAGTACCCGGAATGTGGCTAGCTCTATTCAGCCGAGAAACTGAATACTTAATTTTGGTTTGATTAATTTATGTATACATTTAATCACACATGGTTAGGTTAGTGGCTACACTATCAGAGAATATAGGTAGACCTTAGAAAAGTGAGTTTATGACCCGGAGCAATTCACGTCTACATTTCACGTAGCATTAACATGGGCTGCTTTGGATTGTGTTCTAGGGTTTTCCTCAGTGGCTCTCAAGTAGGAGGCAATACTTACCTGCTAAAGAGAGAAGTGAAAATTTGTTAGGACATTTTTGTTTGTCCTGGGGTATCCTCCTGACATTTACTAGATGGGGGACCAGAGATGCTTAATGGCTTAAAATGTAAAAGGCAGTTTGCACAATTACTGTCTACCCCAAAAGCCAGTAGCAACAATTTGACAAGCACCAGGTCAGCAGAATTCTCTGAATATTGTGATTTCATCTGTGAGATCCCCTGCGACTTCAGTACTATCTATAGCTAAATCTGTTTCCTACAATGTCTATCTGATCAATGCCTGCCTCTGGGGGACCTCACTTTCTTATGGTCATTTTGTTCTGTATCTTCAACCACTCCTTCTCTACATTTCCTGTCTCAGAAAATACCCTGTCTGAATTCCATATCCATGAGCCGGGACTCTCTCTCCTCTTCATTCACAGCACCCTGACCTCTGCCTATCTAGGGGACAATTCTGTCCCCCAGAACCTAGTGGGGGAAACTATTTTTTCTATTATGATGAAAAGAGAGTTCACACCATATGCAGTTTCAAAACACACCATTTTATTACATAGACACATCAATAGAGTCATCATACCATGTTCCACTTCTAAACAACTGTGTGTGTGTGTGTGTGTTTAAACACACACACACACACACACACGTTTAAGTTTCCAAGCAGAATCCACTTTTATTCTTTTATGCTTACAATAACTTCACCTTTTTGTAGCTAGTTTCTACAGCACACCACCACACTATTTTGTCACATATTTTGTTTCTGCATTTACTTTCCCCCAAGGGTAGGCACATACTAAAACTATAATGTAGTCACTTAAAGTATTCTAGTTTATAGATCAATTTATTGTGAAAGTTGAATTTTCAAGTACTTGAACAATGTCTTCCAAACGTCCCCTACTTATCTCAGAAAGAATCACTCTACATCCCAAATAAATCCCTTCTAAATAACCGAGCCCTGAAAATATTGGGTTAAAAGAACTACATTTAAAGACGTATCTATGTCTGGTTATATACACAGTAGCCTATTTGGGTAGCTGTCATGATTGCATCTCTTCTTAACTCTATATTGAAGCAGTGATATGCCTACTTTGTCCTTTGATGGGTGATTTCATAAATTATTTCAAAAGGCATTAAAACATCTTACTGATGTATTAGAACTCTGTATTATACAAATATGTCTACAAAGAAATGCCACCTAGAGTCAGTGGTTATTCCTTCAGTACAAAACTACATCTTTGAGTAAATTCAGTAGAGCCACATATATATAAAATATCTGCATCTATAGTTTAGATTTTCAGTGATAAAGATTATGCCTGTTGATGGCATCAAAAGAACAGTGATAATGTTAATTCACTATTTGAGGTTGTATTTATGGGCAACTTCTGTAATCTACTGGATACTGAAGTTATTCATATGAGTTAGGAGCCTTCAAGCACTACAGCAAACAATCATAGCCCAGCTATTTCTTTTGACTATCTACAGCCAGAATTTTTTTTATGAGTCAACTTAAATAGGGTAGGTGATGATCACGATACTCTAAAACTAGAAGACCTTCAGATTTCCATTAACTGGAGTTATTATTTTGTTATAATTAAAACCCATATTTTGTTTCTAAATGATAACATGTTCTCGTCCTGAGTATTAATGGTTGAATTTACCTGTGGTTCAATAAGTAACTCATACAAATGACCTGAAAATTGATTAGCTTTGGGGAAAAATTAAAGTATCCAATACAATGAAAACCACATATTTTAAAATATTAGATTTCTTTATCTGTTATCAGAGGTTGCGTTCTCATAAATATTTTCAAAGACCATGCTATTTTCTTGCTTACTCATATTGTCACAGGTGGCTATTTTAACATTTCCCTGTGGAAAAGAAGGACTGAATTTAACTACATAAATGTAAGCCTATCGTTTTATTTCCTTCTACAAAGACCTCTTTCAGGTTCTTTGGATATACATATTCTTAAAAATGGTCTGTTTATATTATTTTCATAAATTATAAAATTTTGAAAAGATCTAAATTAAATTCTAGCAAAGCAAATTATAACTTTACCTTTTGGGCATACATCATCTGTCCTTTTATATAATTTAATTGGGCTGTAAAGTGTTTGAAATGTAAGTATCATGAAAATCACAATTCATTATGTCTATATTAATAAATGTGGAAATATGTGATTTAAAGTTATGTTTATAAATCAGTATTAATCATCGTTATTACAGAAATGCCATTAATAGTAAAATAGCCAGATAAGTAATTTATCTTTATACTACACTATTCAGATCACTCAACTCCATAAATATCAGTCACAATGATATTTACACACAGCAGACATAATAAAAAGAATAAAAATGAACAAATTTAGTAGAAATCAAACATGTGATTTTGTGGGCATAGAAAAGCCTTGAAAAATTGCTTTCCCATCTCTTTGGGAATAGAATCCTGATAATACCCCAACAGCATTACAATCTCTTTTTGATTATCTATTTACATTCATGTATGCTATAAATATATGCTGTATATATTTTCTATATTTACAGTATATATACACACACATACACACATGTGTTATTTTATTCTTAGGCTCATTCATGAACATGCAGATCAATCTGCACAGTATAATCAAAACATATTTATTTTCCTTAAATGATATTCATTTATAACTTTTCACCCTTGTGCAAAAATGCAAAAATATCATACAGATTAGTATGGTCTCTCTCTAAAAAAATTTTCTTCTTTATGCTTTAGGGTTTTTTTGTCATTTACAAATAAATTATGAAATATAGTTCATTCACAAATTGGAAATAATTTTAATGTTTTTACAACAAGGCATTACTGAGGTTTTGAATTGTGGTATTCTTGAAGCCACTGTCTTTCAAAACAAAGACATAAATAATTTATTGTTATTTCTTGATATTTGTACTTTGATTATTTATATGAAATATGTCATTACAAATTTAATACTCATGCTAGTCAAATAGTGTTTTTGTAGAATATGAATTTTTCTTTCTGTTTATTCCTTTTTTTTTTTTTTTCCTGAAAAGTCTTTAGAACAGTCTGGAATGTCTGTTCAAATTACTGCACCAGAACATTTCTGGAAGGTTCTCACCCAAAAAGAAAAAAAAAAAAAAAGCTGAAGAAGTGAGGCAAACTGAGGGAGAATGATTATACTGGGTGCCCATCAGGGAAAACAGCAAATATAAGAACTGCTTTAATTTTATCCCCTACTCCTTTGGTATTTCCTTTCCTCATGAAAATCCTAAAAAATGTTCAGTTCTTTAAAACATTGATTATACTCTTCCGTTAAATATCAGTTGTGGTCCTCCATTGCTCATGTTGTCTGTCATTTCCTGTTAGGAAAATAAGATGAATTAGTTAAAATTTACTTTCAGAGTAAGATATTGATTTGGCTAATGGGTTTGCAAAACAGAAATTTCAAGCCACTGAAAAACTTCCTGAGTTTTGGGGAAGGGCAAGGATTGATACTGTTGTTGCATTTGAGAAAATGAAATTTCATGGCATCTTGGAGCACATGAAAATGCTGAAATGATAGTCTGTTAGACCAAAGTCTTCTATGCACAAAAACACTTCAGTCTGTCCCCAGTGCCCTGAGTCTCTTCTTTTCTTTCTCAACTTTACTTTGGAAAGACCTCACCTAGAAAGAAGATGGTTAAATACCTACACTTACCCCTTGCATTGGCTTCTCTGCTGAGCGTGTCAGCGAAGTGCCCACATAGCCTAGGGGTTACCTCATTCTATAGAAAAATGTGTGGCATTTTTGCAAAGAACGGAAATAGGTCCACAAGGGGATTATTGCTTATATGCAATGGTGGATCACAGTGGGGAAGATTGGTTTTCATGACACTATCATTCATACAGTAAAAAAAAAAAAGCCCAACCAAACAAATAGTAAAACCTCTTAATATGTTTCTTAAGGGATCAATTACAAGGACGCTAATAAGGAAAACTACATGGAAGGCAAATGAAAACTTAGAAAGGATGAACTAATGTTAAGTTCCATTTGCAATTTGAGAAAATGTTAATTTAAGAAAAATTTAGATGTTTTGAATTCATACTTATCATTGAACATTAAACTCCTCCCTAAATATGAGAAGGTAATGAGATGTGAAGCCCATTCACATTTATAATGGCTAGTGTGCCATATTATAAAGAATATTTAAGCAAAAATATCTAAAAATCTTTCCACATGTGAACAAGCCTATTTGCAAAAGTGTAGTAAGGAAAATTCAAATCCAAATTCTTGTTCATTTACTTTAAGCCTATCAGTTTATATTTGATTGACATTTGGGGGAGAATTAGAAATGTGTCCTTTTGTAAACTTTATAAATTCTTCCCAATATTTATTTGAAAAATGAAAAGGTATCCATGCCCTATTTTGACTCTCTTCTCTTAGAAAATTCAATATAGGAGATGAAATAGAATAAAGATACTTGCTTCTTGCTTTGGCTGGTTTGGAAAGTTGCTCAGGGAGAGGATCTGTGAGGGATGGGAAGGTAGAAATTGGCCTGGCTTTTGAACTTTGCTTTGAAAACTTTGTTGTTTTGAAAGATGTGGTGGAACTTCTTCCAAGAAAATTGGGAGAAAGGAGACAAGAGGCACTGGGGACGTGTCATCCTATCACATCAAGCTCTGTCTCTCCAGGCAAAGTGCCTGGCCTCTTCCAGGTCCTAAGGAGTAATCTCATACCTGGCTGGCTATCCACTATATCTCCCTGGTAAGGTGCCAAGAAAATACAAGAAAAAAGCCGAGAAACTCAAACTCTTTTAGGATGAAGACTCTGACAGAAAGTGAAGAAGGTTCTTTGGCGCCAACAGCCTGTTTCTGTGGCCTGGTGATGGTTCAGTGACTGGCTCACTGGGCGTGCAGATGGTAAAAGTAGGCGTGGAAACACCGTGGGGTTGTTGGGCTGAGATTAAGTTCATCAGCAGGAAACCTGATTTGAGGCTTCATTCAAAAACTCACTGTGGGTGGCAAGTTAAATAGAAGCGATTCTTCAAAAATGATCTTTAACAAAATTTACTCATATGCCTTTTTCTATTCCGCATACGAGTACAAAAACAATTTCCTAATGAACTAATAAAAGTAAAATTCTTAGGTGCTTCTTCTCTCTAAATGAATTTGCATTCAGAACAGTAGCTTAGAAACCATAAAAAGTAATCTAATGTAGAATACTTAATTGCAGCATTAAGAAAAAAAATCCAGTTTTCAAAAAGCTTAAAAATGAAAAGCATTTTCCTAACTAAATTCATACTAATGTGGACACTGTAAAATCAAGGGTAGGAGAAAAGAGCAAAAATTGGGTTTTAAACGCATTAGCATTTTTAGTTTATTTGCAAATAGGCATGTCCAATTTGATAAGAAGAATATGTTCTAAATTTGGGCAGGACCAAATGTGACTATTTGCAAGTGGATATACTCTCCACCATTGGGCCAGAGTATCAATGAGACTTTCTGGATTTCCGATTATATCATTTAACCAAAGTGAGAATGACATTTATTTTTAGCAACCGAAAGTATAGGAAATAAATGTGAAATGTATCACATCAGATAATTTTGTCAAAAGACAGGTCTCACACAGCATTTTTACTGTATTAGTGTCAAACTTATGTCATTTGCTCATGCAACTTTGGCATGAAGGAGATACTGTTTGTCATTATAAGATACGCCTATTATTAAAAACAGAACTCGGGTCTGTGAATGATGGTATTGAGTCAGAATCATGATGTAGCAGAAAATAAAGGAGTCATGAATCATCCAAACAGGAGTGTGTTTGGATGCTTATAGGAGGCTGAATATTTTAAATACTCTACCAACTTTCAAGCTGCAAGACTCTGCCATGTAGGTTTCTGTTGGGTCCTCAAAGTAGTTCTCGTGACAGTGATACTTTGAGGAGCAACAAATATCGCAGCATCAGTCCAGACTGATCTGCTGACATCATGGCTTCCTAGAAAGAGGCATCGCTTCCTGAGGTGACATTACAACATGGTAACTCCCTAGAAATCAGCGTACCTTGTAGGTAACTCTGGTGTCGGGGGCACCACCGGGCAGCTGGGCAAGTCGGTTATTTCAATAGCCCTCAATCTCTAATGTAAATATAACAATCATACAATAAATATTGTACAAACATACACACACACAAAAACTAAATCACAGTAGTATAAAAATAGAGCAAATGAGCTACTATCCAAATACTTAACGGTAATCTATTTTTAACAACCCATTTCTTTAAATTATCACTCCCGTTAATTATACCATAGTTTTTTTTAAGAACATGTGTACATCAGTTCCAAATCGCTTTTTTCATGGAGCAATTTAAGAATATCTACTCTCTTTATTTGAATGTATTGATTGCATACAAAATAGAAACACTTAAAACTATGTAATACATATTTTTTTCTTCAGAATCACATTACGAAGGAATATGAGGTAGTAACTCTTGCTTACTCTGTCTTCTATTCTGTGGTTTTATTTCCATGATATCAAGTGAAATATTATCTTAGCCAGTTTAGTTTACAGATGTTTTATCTTTTCCTTCGTAGATCCAATAACAGGAACTGAATTAAGAAATACGTGCAAAATGCAACAAAACACAGACAGCTCACTATATCATCTGTCCTTTAAAGCAATAAATGTTACTTCCTGTTTGAATGAGTTTTATGAAACAATTAGGCAAGAATATTATTTAAAATATAGGCAAAGCTACCCAAATATGCACGAAGTTTAGATGAGAATTTAATGAAGCTTTATGTGGACTGTACTATCTGCACTGGCAGGCAAGGCTTTTTGTTGCCTTATTAAAAGGTCCTTTTATGCTTCAAAATCTAATTTACATAATCAGATGCATCTACTTACAAGCACAAGAGGTGAGCTAGAAAGGGGAATTCATCAGATTTCTAAAACTGGCATTGTTGAGAGGGTATTTAGTTTTATGTGTTTTTCCTCAGTATAATACATAAAAATCCATATTTATAAGGCATTCACTATTTTATGAAATGCTATTTTAGGAACTGTGTTTTGGTATAGATAGAGAGCTATGAAACTGTTGAAAATAGGTGTGCCCAAAATAACAGAGAAAAAAAATAATACAAAATTTCTATTCTTAGCCCAATAGGGCCAAAGTTGTAGAAAATCCCAATTCCTCAAATTCTCGTCTAAAGCTGCCAGTTGACTGACCAAGATTTGACTGCAGTCTTCGTCACATGCTAGCGGTGAGCAGAAAAGGTACAAAACTTACTTTCTCAGCCATTTCATGAGAGTGGTGCAGCGAGTGCTCCCTCTCCGAAAACATCCTCCTCTGTTCGTAGCTGGCTAGTCGACAAGTTAGCCAGGAAGAGAGGGTGCAGCCGCCGATCCCGATGCATGCGAGGGACATGGAGGCAAGATGCAGAGAATAGAGGGAAGAGTTTTTCTTTGTCACTGCCCGAAGGAACTGAACATTCAGGATGCCCCCAATGAGTCCACAGATGCAGCAAGCAGAGAAAAGGATCATCTGGGAAGAAAAAAGAAAGGGAGTGTCAAAGTTGAGGGAGCCAGGCTGACCCAGAACACAGTGCCTTGTCCTGCTGCACCTCAAGGATGTCTGAGCTACGGTAAAGGGAAGGGGCTTTGGTGCTTCTCAGAGGGCAGGCGCTCTCCTTTCACCAAGTTTCTGTGCAAGCAGACTCAGTGGAGAGAGCATAGACCGCAGGGTTTCTGGACAGCTGACTGTATAAAGGCTAAGGATACATCTTTTGAAAACCCTGAAGTAAGCAAAATTTGTCTTCAAGGTAGATTCAGACTTAAATCATATTTAGTTACTATGTGCTTACTATGCTAGGAACCTGCACAGATACGATCTCATCCAGCAAACCTCTGAGAGAAATTGTGATATACATTTTGGACCATGAATGGTGAGCAGGTAACACTCAAGTTTAGGGACTGAATCCAGATTTTCTGACTCTAAACACAGTTTCACTATGTTAATCCCCCTAAAATATATAAATATCTTCTCATTGAACTGTCATGAGTCCCACCAAACTTCAGATCTTGATACTTCTCTAGCTATATGGGTGTGGGGAGTTTGCTTCCTTCTCTTTTTCATTCCTGGGAGTTTTATTGTGTGTCTGTCTCCCCAAATGATAGTTTAGGGACTCCCTGTGAACTGGCCTTTAATATTACAATTTTTTTGTTACTCTGTGGCACCACAGTGAAGAATACACAATAGACATTCCAAGAATACCCTCTGGTTGTTTTGGGGGAAACACAGGATGGGGCTTTGCTTTTGATCCTATTACTGGTTTGATCAGGGTCTCTGTTAAGAGACCTTGGGGGTTTTATTCTACCTAAATATCATAAATTTAACTGAATATTCCAAAAGCTTTAATGATTTTATTTTATATTTGCATTTAGTTCAAATTCCCCCATGGGCTCTCCTTATACTTTATAGTGTGATACTAATTTAATTATCCACACTTATTTTCATTTTTCTCCAGAACATGGTCTTCAGTCCAGTCCTCTGTCTTGCCAATCCTACAGCTTGTTCATTCCCACCTCAATGACATTTTCCATTTCCTGGAAATGATGTCGCTTCTTTCTTGGACTCCTAGATGGAAGACTCAAAGGCAGTCCTAACTTCTTTGGAAAGCCTTCCTGGATTTGCTGCTCTCCTCCTTTGGCAAAATTCCATTGGGCAAACAGGTATGTAACATAATATAGCATTTAATTTTATAGTATCAGGAATTATTTGCTGTTGATGTGAGCTGAGTTTAAAATGCATTTATTGAGCACCTAGCATCTTTTAGGCCCTGAGTGAGGCAGCTGCTGGCATTATTAAAAAAAGAGTAACTCATAGTTATTGCCCTTGAGTATGTTGGGGTCTTACGTGAGAGAGACCTAACATTTCAACCTGGCATGGCAAATATTAAGAAAGAGGGATGAATTGGTTGCCGTTGGAATAAGGAGGAGGAGAATGTAGCCCAACCAGGAGCTTCAGACAAAGCTTCCCTGATAACATGTCATCTAAACTAAGGGCATGCAGTTCCCAGAAAAGGGTAAGACCCCAGATATCTGAAATAGCTTAGTGAAATAGCATGATGGGCAGAAAGAATTATAAGCACTTTGCAACTTGTAACTCTAACTTAATTCAGCATCCTTATTGTGTCTGTTTCACAGTATCTATCTCCAAGACTGCAAATCCAATGATGGATGAGTATATTTTTACGGTGGATTAAATATAATACTGAGTATCAATGACCAAATAATTGAATCATCCCAAGTGGGGACCTGTTGCTCCCAGTTTCATATAGAATCAGTATACTATCTTTAAAGTATATTCAGACAGTATGCAGTTTCTTGGGAAATACTTGGGTGTTGGCTCATTCTCAGAAAATACGGGAAGATGTTACATTCTAGCCTTCAAATAATGAATACTGTTAATTAAGAAAGTAAATGACAAATTATTTGACTATTATAAGAAAATATGTAATCTCTCCTGCTATTAGTCTCATTCAGTCTTGAAAGTCATGACATTTCATTAACACGTGCCAACAGAACATTCTCACCTAGGAATTAAAATGTTAAAATCTATACCTACATTTATAACCACACATGATTTTCAAATCTCACCAGACTAGAGAATTTAGACTCCAGAGATATTTGGAGTGGAGAAATTATCATGCAATTTGATTGAAGGGTAGAGAACCCTTGATAGCTAAATGTCATCTATGGGAATATCAAAGAGTAAAAGAGGTTAAAGTGAATGGTAGTTTATAAAAAGTTCAGCTCTAATGAATTTTTTATAACTCTTAAGAGAATTTAGAAAGACAGAAAAAAGACTTTCTTTTCCCTTATCCTATGAACTGAATATTTGTGTCCCTCTAAGTTCAACTGTTGAAGCCTAATCCCTAATACTATAGTATTTGAAGGTGGGAAGATAATTTGGTCAGGAAGATAATCTCGCAAGATAATTAGGTCAGGAAGGTGGAGTCCTCCTAATTAAGGTCAGTGTCTTTATAAAAGAGATTCTAAGAGTTCTCTTTCCCCTTTTGCCAAATGAGGACACAGTCAAACATCTGCAACCTGGAAGAGAAGCTTACCAGAACCCAACTACACTAACTGGGTCCAGCCTCCAGCCCCGTGAGAAAGAGATTTGTGTTGTTCATAAGCCACCCAGGCTACAGTTCTTTGTTATAACAGCCCAAATAGATGAAGACATCTCTCCTCCCTTTCCTTCCCCTGTTCCTTCTCCTCTGCCTCGCCCTATTTTTCCTCTCCCTTCCTCATTCTGTCTTTGCCCTTTTCTTCCTTTCTCTTCCTCTCTCTCTCCCCCTTTCTTTTATTCCTTCCTTCCTTCCTCTCTCTCTCCCTCTCTCTTCATTCCTTCCTTCCACCATTTCTCCCTCTCTCCTTCCCTTCCTTCTCTCTTTCCTCTCCTTCTCTCTCTCCCTTTCTCTCTTTCTTTCTTCCAAATCCCAAGATATTGTTATTATATAGCCATAAAGACTCCGGTAAAATAAAAGTAGGGAGAGAATGAAGGTCATGTTTAAAAAGTAATGGGAGATTGATAGATGCAAACTACAAGCCTCCAAAAATTTGTATCTAAAACTTTCCATTTAGGTAATTTTTAAAAATTACATCTCACATGGCTAAAGCAATAAGTGCTTCAATTTTTTTTGGTCACAAGAGGTATCCTCATACACACACAAAATATGTGATTTGAAAAAGTAGTTAAACAAAAACAACTAATACTCCCATCCCTGCCCTCCTGAGATAACTGGCCTCCCCCTGGAAACCTCCTTTTAGGATCAAAGACTGCTTTCTAGGGTCCAAGTGTAATATTAATTTTGCTAACTTACAATGGTCTCTGATCTTTCCTATCACACACAAAAAAATAAAAAATGCTTTTTCCCTCTTTTGAACTCTCCAAAAAAACATCATGGAGGGAAGTGGGGAATCCCCACTTCAGCATACAGAAGTTCTCCTCCAGCCATTATCAGAGTTAACTGGGAGCAAGTTCCATACCCCAGGAACCCATGATAGTACTGTAAAACATCTGAAAACACTTATGTTTGCATTCACAGTAATAAAATAAAATTAAATAAAAAAAATCATTGGGAAGTAACTGTAACTATAACAACACAGCTGTTTTGCTGCATTGCAAAATTGACTTCACAGTCAAAGCCAGTAATCCGTAGGCCCAGTTCCACATTTAAACAGTTAAATTTCCCATGAACTCAAGCCATGTCTTTTTTAGCTTATTCAAAGATTCATGTATCTGAGTGTCTAGGCGTCTATAAACTGGAAAAGTGGAGACTGTCAACCACAGCAGTCATTATGGGTTCCATATTCATGCATTTAAAGAGTATCTCAAAGCTTTTCTTTCTTTTTCTTTTGTCACAGTCTCTAATATTCTTGATGGGCTTTTTTTTTTTTTTTTAAATGAAAAAGCCACTATTTGTCAGTCCTCTTTTCATTCTAAATGAGTAATATTCAGTACGTGAAAGTTGGCTTGTCATCATTTCCATTTTCGGGTTCCTATATTTCAAATACTTCAATGCAAAATACAAACAAGGCAGAAACTTACGACAAGTCCAGATTTTTTTTTGGCGCACAATATTCCACATATGCCACAAAGAAGGAACTGGAAGGGAAAAGAACAAAAATTATTCTATATTCAAAGATAAGAAAACCTCTTTTTTTTTTTTTTTTTTTTTTTTTTAGCTTATAGCTCACTCATGACACTTGCTCCAGGGAAGAATGAAAATTTTACATTCCCATCAAAAGCTGGAAAGGAAAATACCTCATTCTAGAAGAGTAAGAGATAAAAAAGCTAACTTTAGTGAAAATTTGTTCTTTGCCAAGTTGATATAGGTAATCCTGGTACTTAAGCAAAACCAGAGTCAGTTTTATATCAGGCAAAATTATGAAATAAATAAATTTAGAGTTTTGTTCCTCCTATTTTCTTTCATTGTCTTCTTATCCCTTTCTACTTTCTTAGGGAGAAAAAGCAGTGTGATATATTCATTCATAATTGATTTCTAAGCAATTAGAAATCAATGGGCTCTACTACAGGTAGTGAATCTCACACAAACAAAAAGAGAAGGCATCAGAAAGGGAGATGTCCTTTAGGGACATTCTTTGTACCTCTCAAACTATGTCAGATAAAATGGTGACCTCATTCTACCAGAAATATGGTACTTGTGCATACGTTGGAAGAACTCAAGGAGATGAAGCTGTTGATGGCATGTCATTTCTTGTAAATAAGCACATTAGTGACATAATTGCTTTGCAAAGAAGAAGCATCAAATAGTCTACCAATGACACACTATTAGATACTTTGGTTATCGGAAAATGGTAAATCATTTAACTTGGTTAGAAATATTTAGAGTCATTTAAATGTGCATTTATATATACATCTGGCTGGAAGCAAACCATATAAATAAAATAATACAGTCATTAATAAATAATAAGCTCACTAAGGGCTTTCAGACTAGCAAATAAAGCTTGCAGTGCAGTTAAGTTTTTCCTTTTGATCTTCTTTTTAAAATTGTGCTATCTCAAGTCAGAACTAATAAGGTAAGTGGTTTTAACTGGGTTTCACACATCGGTAGACTTTATAAATATATACATAAAAATATCCTAAGAATTATCTAAAATAAATAAAATGCTTGTGAGAAACATCACCAAAATTGGAAAAAGAAATAACAAGTTACTGAAGTTTCCCTTTGCAGGGATCTTTCCATGTAAGGGAACAAAATAATTATAAAGCAGGCAATGATGCAGCAAGACAGATCAGAGCACAAGGATATATAAGGATTTGCTTAAAACATAGATGATCTTTCAAACTAATGGCAAAAAGATCAAGATCCAATGGAATTAGGGCAGTTTACAAACTTTCCCTAACATAATACACCAAAACATCTATGAAACAGTTTGAATATGTAAATGTATATAAAAAAACAAGTATAGTAAAAAATAACACACCTCTCAAAAGCAAAAAATAAATTGGGATCATATTTAGAAAGCCTATGACAAACAAGGGTTAACTTATTATTAATCTAATAAAGTTATTTTAATACCTTAAACCATGAGAACATAAAAATTCAGAACTTTATAAAACTTGAATACTCGTATAGTTTTCAGAAGTTTTAAAAAGCTACTTCTGAGTAACCATTGGTCACCCCCCACCTTTGTGTCTTGGGTCCAAATGAACTTGTCCTTAAGAGTCCTTAGGACTCTTCCTTACCGATCCTGTCTCATGTCTATTAAGGCTGTGCTCAAGCCATTCCACTTTGTACCCCTTGGTGCTTCCAAGCTTCCGATCAGCATGCCCTTGTCCTTGCTTGCCTGACTAACCCATTACGCACCCTGAAAGTCCACTCACCCAGAACTCATTCCTGAAGTAATTTGAAAGCAATGTAGTTTTGCGTTCCTTGGACCTCTTCTGAAATCTGTAAACATTGCCATTATTTATTCACAGCCAAGCTCGAGGGGACTTCAGGAGCTTAGGCCCAGTTCTCCTTCCCAGCCACTTGATTAGAACATCTAAGTGGAAATAAAATTACTTCCTTCTATGGTCCACTAAGGAAGGAAGGTCTGGGCTTGGGGGTGTGGGGGGAGGTAGAATACAAGGGGAATCAAACAGTATGTTTCTACTCTCAATCAGGCCTGGAGAATAAATACTTCCTGATAGTTACTTCTGTCAGGGTATCCAAAATCCTCATTCCCTGGAGGAAACTTGTAATTTGAGAAAACATCTACACATGTAATGGGCGGTATATAAAATCATGAAATTTATGAGGAAGCTTTAAGGGGTGTTAGCAGAAATTTAGCCATCACAGTTTATAGAGAAGTATAAAAACAGCACAAGAAAGCAGTAAACGATCTTTCAATTTCACGGGCAGTCTGTAACCCCAAATCACAATGCTGGAATGGATTTTTTTTTTTTTAAAGGTTTTATTTATTTATTTGACAGAGAGAGATCACAAGTAGACAGAGAAGCAGGCAGAGAGAGAGAGGGAAGCAGGCTCCCTGCTAGGCAGAGAGCCTGATGTGGGACTCGATCCCAGGACCCTGAGATCATAACCTGAGCCAAAGGCAACGGCTTAACCCACTGAGCCACCCAGGCACCCAACGCTGGAATGGATCTTAAAAGATGACTTAACTTAGTCCTTGCAGTTTGCACGTGGGGAAGTACAGGTCCACACAGTCTTGGTGACTTGCTCAAGGTCACTCATCAAGGTCACAAATCACCCATGTAATCTAAGGCTTTTTTAAGTGAGTTAATTTATTTCTAATAATGTAATGAAATGCTCTTCAAAAGGATTTTTCAGTGCTAGTACAGGGCATCATATTAGCAAATCCAACCAGAAGTGTTCAATGAACACCTGGTCATCTATAATTGCTCTCTTTGCCCTTCCTGTTGTTAATTTTTGTTGTAATAAGAATGATTATAAGATCAATCATAAAACAGTCTACAATTAAGTGAACCTTATTATATAGGGAATTTGTTATATTTCAAAATACTTTTTTTTTCTCAATATAACTTTATCAAGGGTGCAAAGCACTCACACCACGTTATGAAACAAGTGAAAAATAGATCTGTTTAAAAAAATAAAATTGACAGCTGGAAACATGTATATCTGAATTAGAGACACACTTTTACATGAGACAAATAATTGTATTTCGGAGAAAATGGGCTATGTAAACCCAGGGAGAGTTATTTGCTTTGCTTTTACTATAAAGTTATATAAATGAAATGATCTAATGACAGGGAGTGCAACTATGTAATGAAGCTAGTTAGCCCTCTGAGTGGAATTCATCTGATTCTAACTTAGATTAAATTCAATAGATGACTAAGGTTGTGATTCATTGTAGGATGAAATGGAGCTGTAATGGAAATAGCATTCTGTATTTTGAGTGGATGCTGTTCATGCACAGAGCCTTCTGCTTCTGCTTAAGATGGAAAAAGAACAAAGATGTCGTTCCCACGTAAACAATAAGAAAAAGCCAAAAAAACGAAGACAGGGAGGGGTAACTTTGAGAGCCCATCAGAATGCTGAAGTCCAAGGCAATGAAATACCTGCAATTCAAAGAAGAATAAGGCCCTGTAAGGAAATTCTGGACACACGCTGTGTCTTTTGTTGCAGAGACAGGAGAAGGGGATGTGGGTTGTCGCGAAAGTGGGTGTGGGTGAGGGAGGGGTAGGCGGAGCAAAGCTCTGCTCTGTCCTCAGTCTTTCTTTGTTATGAAGCCAATGCTTTAAGCCCCTGGCAAAGCGGTAGCAAAGCTTATCATTTCCAGGATTTATGCAAATACAGATTGCAACTCTAGAGGAATTATAGAAAAAGATAAATGCACCAAAGATAATCACTGTACTAGCACAATCAGTTCCTAACTAGAATGACTGCCTTTTGCACTAACAGCCTAGGAGAATATATGAAGAAAAAGTACAGACAAGATTCTGGAAAAAAAAAAAAAAAAAAGTACATTTGAACTTTTGACATCCAATCAAATTCTCATTCACACAAGAGATTACAAAAAAGACAGGATCATTTGGGCAAAAGCACAGTGGTGGGCTAAATTATGGCTCTTCCAAGAGATGTATGTCCTAATCCCCCAGAATCCATGAATGTTACCTTATACAAGAACAACAACAAAGCCTTTGCAGATATGATTAAGCATCTCAAAATGAGATTTTTGTGGATTGTCCAGGTAGGCCCTAAATATCATCACAAGGGTCCTTTAAGAGGAAGAGAAGAAGGCGGAAAGAGACAGAAGGTTCCAAGAAGACACAGAGAGACACAGGGAAGGAGATGTGAAGAGTCCACACTGCTGGTTGTGAGGGGGAGGAGGACTGTGAGGCCCAGGATGTAGGCAGTCTCTGTGAGCTGGAAATGGATTCCTTCCTGCGGCCTCCAGAAGGAATCTAGCCCCACAGACCTATTTTAGATTTCTGGCCCCCAGAACTGCGAGAGAATAAATTTCTGTTGTTTTAAGCCACTAAGTTTGTGGCAGTTTGTTCCAGCAGGAATAGGCTAATACAGGCTCCAAAACGTTGTACATGACACACTCTACAAGAATTACTAGAAGTTGCTAAGGAAAACAAGCAGGGAAAACCATGAGATAAGAAAGAAATGTAGGAGAAAAACACAAAAGAAAACAAAACGATAAATCTTTTACATTCAAAAGTATTGATTGGAAAAATTAGTATCTGTTTAGAATGGATATTGCAAGCGACTCTGGCCTGAGACAGGGTGAGGTGGGGGTAAAGAGGATGTAAAGAGAGTTGGAAGACTCTTATCATTTAGCAGAATAACATAATAATTATAATACGTAATAATAACTAGAATAGCTAACTAGTTCTAGATATTGACGGAAAGTACAACTTTAAATCTGTGCCTTAAAATACAGACTGAGAAAATAAAAATAAAGAGAAAAATACAATTTGATAGTAAAGACTGAACCGACAGATGTCAGGGAAGTTTAAAAAAGTGAAAGGAAATAAAGTGAAACTATAAAATAAGCTGGAATAAGTAATTCAGTAGTGTAAGCAATCAGACTAAATGTGAATGCATTCAGTTTTCCTCGTAAGAGGGAAAATAGAAGGGAAAAAACAGTCCACTAGGTAAAGAACGAAAG